TTCACACACACACACACCAGACTCTCAGCCAGATAGATAAACCTAACCTATACTAGCCTCCCCCCATCCAAGTAGATCTGTATAATTACATAGACCAGATATCAAGATAGCACTGAAAAGTGGAACCAAGTTACAGTTGCCTCACTCAAAATTGGTGGTATTAGTGATATGTAGCTAAATACTCGCACACTAAAATGGAATATATCTTTTTACACAGTTAAGAGGAAGGTAAGAGCTCTTCATACTTTTTTTTCTCTTAATGCTAAATTACCTCACCAGCTAAGTCCGAGGTGAAATCATAATAATTTTCTGAAAAATTTGCATGTTTTTGAACGAGAAAGTAGGAAGCAATTACTATATTTTAACAGCTATATACATATGTACACTATGCTCTAGGGGATGGGTGCTTATTCTGGGAAGGGCAGCGTTTTAGAGCTTGGAGGCTTGCGGTTTCTACTATGGGAAATACAGTGGCCAAGCAAAAAAAAGCATTCTTTAAGAGCCATGTAATGAATATAAGTTAAAATGACCAGGACTTACCGAAAGTGTATCGCCCCGGCATCAGGATTGTCAGAAAATGTATGGCAAACATGTAGCTTCCCTGAAATGCCTTGCCTATTTCCTCATAAGGCACGCCATGTCATGCCATACAACTACTTGACAGCTTGCTGAATTTGGTAACCAACATTCACCTACACTTTGATACACAGTGCCCACTCTTTTGGTTCATGGGTGCATCTGATCAAAATCATCGTCACACCTAAATTTTACAATTTTCCATGAATCCAAAAATACTTACTTCTGGCGAATACCTACATAGCTTTAAATTTTAAGAGCGTGTATGAATTCAGCTCCGAGAGTGAGGTAGCATATTCATGGTCGTGGCAGCAAAGGCAAATTAGATATCAAACTGAAAAATGATTTTGAGTGTAAGTGACAGTTAAAAAATTATTATTAAATGATTTTTTCTCACAAAAGATCGATCTTAGTATGCGAAACAAAACTAAAATTTTCACACAAGAGTTTGGAGAAAAGACGAGCAATTGAATTTTTTCCAAATTTGAGGATCGGCGCTGTTAAAAACGAGCCTCAGAGTGCGGAGGTGATTTTCGCTTGGAAAAGAATTATCTTAAAACATTTCGAAAACTCAGGTGGTTTTGATCACTTTTGGGGAGACAGAGTCGTGGGCAAAGTTTAAAAGAAGACGAGTTTTTATACCGAAATTCACGGTAACAGACAATTCGTCTTAACACTCACTATAACCTTCCTTGGTACTTCTCGCCGTGCACTGATTTTTGCTTTGTTTTGTTTTGTTTTGTTTTGTTTTTTTTTATCCGAGAAACGTCAAAAATGCAAATTTCATCGAAGGATCTACAATGGAATCACCAAAAGTGTTACAACGCAAAA